AAAATTAACTTAAGATTAACTAAGCAATGATGAAATCAGTGATAAAACATTAATGTAAACAGATTACTATAAAGCACAAGTGAGTATTACAAAGACAGGTCATATGGTTGCATGCATTGTTGTACATTCAGTCGTATGGAGTATTCTGTTAGGTAGTGTATTTAAAAAATAATAAAGTTAGATTGGGTTTTAGGTTTAACATTTATGTGATATAATTGTGAGAAACATTTAAGATATACAATTTATAAGGTTCAGTTATTCAGTATTTATTTGGTTTTGGGTGAGTAAGTGATCTTTGAGAAGAGACTTGAATTTATAAACAGGTAGTGTTTCTTTTATATTTACAGGTAATGAATTCCAGATTTTAGGGCCTTTTATGTGCATTGAGTTTTTGCATAGTGTGAGATGGACACGAGGAACATCAAAGAGTGATCTGTGCCTTGTGTTATGGTCATGTGTTCTGTTGAGGTTGGCAAGGAGATGTTTGAGGGAGGGTTAATATCAGAGTTAAGTGTTCTATGTATGTAATAGGTGCAGTAATAAGTATGGATGTTTTGTATGGTGAGTAGGTTTAGTGTATTGAATATTGGTGGAGTGTGCTGCCTGTAGTGAGAATTTGTTATCATTCTAACTGCAGCCTTTTGTTGGGTAATTAGTGGTCTGAGATGGTTAATTGTTGTTGAGCCCCATGCACAAATTCCATAGGTGAGATAGGGGTAAATAAGAGAGTGGTATAGGGCCAGGAGGGCTGACTGTGGAGCATAGTACCGTATCTTCAATAGTATGCCTACAGTCTTGGAAATTTTCTTAGAAATTTGTTGTATATGTGTATGAAATTTGAGTCTATTATCAAGGTGGATTCCTAAGAATTTTCCCTCTGTTAGCTTTGTGATAGGTGATCCGTTTATCATTATGTTAAGAGGGACATCTGTAGCTCTGTTACCAAACTGAATGAAGTAGGTTTTGTCAATGTTTAGTGTAAGTTTGTTAGTCCTCATCCAGGTAGATATTTTCTGTAATTCGGTATTTACAGTATTGGCTAGCGTGACTGGGCTCGGGTGGGAGAAGACGTATGTAGTGTCATCTGCAAATAGTGTGGGTTTGAGTAATTGCGAAGCATTTGGTAGGTCATTTATGTATAGGAGAAAGAGAAGAGGGCCACTAAGAGGACACTAAGCTTTTAAGTCTAACCGCGATTGCTGGCACAAAATTTCATCAAGCTTTTTATTATTTACTAAATCAAATCTTAATCCAATATTTAATCTTCTGTACTGCGAATAACAAAACTACTGTTGTATCATAAATCATCTTTATTTTTTCATTCCCTACTCACTAAGATATGCATGTACACTAACTATAAAATAAAAGTTCAAGCAAGAATCAAACTTTAACCTTCTTCGACCTATTTGAACAAGCAGTTATCTCCAATTCTACATTTAATCTTCTAAGAATACTACTTAAATTAAATATTAATTTACAGCTAGCCCACTATAATTCTAATTCCTACAATAAGTATAGTGCCTGATAAAAAGGACAGTTTTGATAGAACTGCTCATGTAGTTTTGCTACCTATGTTATGAAAACTTATTTTCCTTCACGACTACGACAACTACTACTACAACTAACCCATCTCTTTGGGAAGGACCTACTTCCACTGGGGAATCCCACCTACCAGTGACTATGCCCTCGTCTGCTACACCTGACGTTACTATATAAGCACCAGGCTCCTTGCTTCTGCTTCAGAATCTCCACGACTATGGTGCTCTTCGCACCTACTCCTAGGTTGAGGGACTGATTACCTCATCTTCTGTATATAGTCCTACTGTCTTCAAGCTATGTCCTAGAATGGACTAATCTAATTTACATTATTCCTTATGGGAACAAATTCATTCAGTATCAGCACTCGAACAGCCTTCTGGAATGAACTAAGTTCGTAACTCGAGGTACTACTGTATACCTATCTCCAAAGTGGAGACCTTCAGTCTTGCCCCTCATGGTTGTACAGTGGACCCCCGCTTAACGATCACCTCCAAATGCGACCAATTATGTAAGTGTATTTATGTAAGTGCGTTTGTACGTGTATGTTTGGGGGTCTGAAATGGACTAATCTACTTCACAATATTCCTTATGGGAAAAAATTCGGTCAGTACTGGCACCTGAACATACTACTGGAATGAAAAAAGTTCGTTAACCGGGGGTCCACTGTATTTTCTATGTGAGGTTAGGGGTTAACAGTACAGTGGACCCCCGGATACTGGCAGGTGCAGATACTGGCCAAATCGGATTTCGGCTGCTTTTTTGGCTGAAATTCTATCCTGGATTTTGGCCGGCAACTCGGATATCAGCTGTATTGGACCCCCCATCCGCCTGTCACTCTGCCGCGTGTGTGAGTCAGTCTGGTTGTCTCTCTTGGTGAGCGAGCAACACTACGTGCATTCATCCAAACATTTCGTTATAATCCATTGTTTTTTGTGGTTATTATTGAGTGCGACTGAGAAACAAGCCACCATGGGCCCATAGAAAGTTCCAAGTGCCAGCCCTTTGGTAAAGAAAGTAAGAAACAAGATAGAATTCAAGAAAGAAATTGTGACAAGTACAAAAGTGGTGTATGTGTGCCCCAGGTTGCTAGGATATATGGCAAATCCAAATCAACACTCGCTCTCTGGACAGTTTTTTTTGTGCGACAGGGGTGCAGTGACTCTCAAGCTGGTCCTAGTGCCAATAAAAGACAAAGAAGGGAAGTAACCCTGGATAGGGACTTTATACCTGAAGTCCTTATGGGATTCCCCTTCCAAACAATAATCAGTCCTCCCTCTTTCCTCCTCCCTGTCTTCCATACGCTAACAAGAATCTTCAATAAAGGTAAATGTGATGTTAAATGTTCATTTATCCATTTCATTAATCGTTTCGTTTAGTTCTCATTGTTTTGTGTATGTATGTAAAACTACATATAGTTCATCTTTAAAATTGTATTGTTTCTTAATATTTTTGGGTGTCTGGAACAGATTAATTGTATTTACATTAATTCTTATGGGAAATATTACTTTGGTTCTTATGGGAAATATTACTTCAGTTTTCGGCCTTTTTGGATTTAGGTCGATCTTCTTGAACGGATTACGGCTGAAATCCGGGGTTCCACTGTAATTGAATTGTAGTCTACTTCTCAATAGTGTTCACACTCCAGATTGCAGTGCTATATGATCCATACAGGCTCAGCATTTGTTTTTAATTTAACACTTACACTTTTGACTCCCCCGAAATTGAAAGCCCCCTTCTTTGTCGGCATTTTTAAAAAATAAGAATTTTTATCTTCCAAAATAGTATAAAATCTTTCTGAAGGTATTGACACCAAATACGGTGGAACCTCAGTACACGAACAGCTCCCTACTCAAACGAAGCTCAGCACTCGACCAAACAAACATGACCTGCTAAAACTTCACTGCAACCTATTTTGTGTTTCTTAGCATTTTACAGTGTTTTTTTATATTTATATAAATAAATCACCATAGGGCCTACAAAGATTAGTGATAACAACCAACCTAAAAGAAAATTGATTGCAAAGAATTTGTTCGATACTCGAACAGATTGGCACTTGAACAGCCTTCTAGAATGAATTATGTTCGAGTGCCGAGGTTCCACTGTATGCAGACCTTAATGTGACACAACATACAAAATATACAGTAATAAAATACAAATTCTCTGAGAGTTATTTATACGGAAATGGATATAAGTAAAGACAGAGACAATACTGTGTAAAATTGTCATTTACAACAGCTGTGTCCTAAAGAAGGAATTTCATCATATTTTACATTATATGGGAGTTAAAAGAAAAAAAGCTGCAACGAGAAGTACAAAGATGGAATTGGATAAAACCAAGAGGATTTCTGGATTTATCATAGTATGCTGATATCAAGAATCACATTAAGGTAAGGAGGTACCTTTTAACAGTAGCTTTGGAGCAGTTGGCAGATAGGGAACCTTCGGAATCTTCAGGCAGCAATTTCCATATTTTAGGGCCTTTTATGCACAATGAGTCTTTCCTGGGTTGAGACAAATGTGGAGGATATCAAAGAATTTTTACATTTTGTATTATGCCTATGAGTTCTCTTGCAGCTCTCCAGGAAGAGCTTTAGTGGTGGGTTCATATTTTAATTGACTGTCATTTATGTATAGCATGTGCAGTAGTACAAGTGAATGTTTTATATGTTGAGCAAGTTTAACCCCTTAACTGTAAGTACATGTAGGTAATGACTGTGTCTGTTGTACTAGCATGCACAATTTTTCATGTCTTCAGGTATGCAAACTGCCAATGTGTTTGACCTCGGCAGAGTTGCTTGGGTTTCCTAAAGCCTCTTCAGGCCTTTGAAAACATCTAAGACCCGGCGGATAACACTGCCCAGCCAGTAGACGAGCAACACGGGTAACACTGCCTGGGCCACTGTCACAATTTCCATTTTATATGTTTCCTTATCTTTTAATCCCAACAATCTAGCATTCACATCTTTTACAGCCCCATCAATAAATGTTTTAAACAACCATGGTGAAATTAAACATCCATGTCTCAGGCCTAGTTTTACTGGAAAAAAAATTCTCTCTCTTCTACCTACCTTGACCTGCTCTAAGTAACCTACCACCTATTCCATACACTTGCAACATCTGCTACAGTGCTTCTCTGTCCACCCTATCATATGTTTAAGGCAACAAAAACTTCCTTACCTTTATCTGAATATTATTAACTTACTTGATTAATGTAAATGCTTGATCTACACATCCCTTACCCATCCTAAAACCTTCTTGTTCTTGATCCTGGGGTTGCAGAGTACTGCTTTACAAGTTCCTTGGAGAGAAACTTTGGTCTATTAATTTGTTATCATGCTTAATATCAATTGATTTATGCAGCCCTTTTGTAATCAGTAGATTATTTAACCTTTATTGTGGGTATTGTATATTGTAGGAATGTATAGGTATACAGAAGTTAGTTAAATTTAATTTAATTTCAGTTGAAAAGATGGCCAATCGCACTATTGCACACAGACGTAAATGGGCGCTAGACTTAGCAGGTCGGAGAGGAGAGCGTGGTAGTGATAATCTGCCTGCACCTCCAGGGTATAGAAGTTCAATTAATCAAGTTCATGCTGAAGCCAACAGACAAGGAGACCCAAACCTTGTCATAAAAAAAGCTTGGGATACTGCACTCAGTCCACTGAAGTCGGTAAGTTTATATGCTTATACTGTATCAGCCATGGACACTATATTTTTTAATACATTACCTGGAGGTTTACCTGGAGAGAGTTCCGGGGGTCAACGCCCCCGCGGCCCGGTCTGTGACCAGGCCTCCTGGTGGATCAGAGCCTGATCAACCAGGCTGTTGCTGCTGGCTGCACGCAAACCAGCGTACGAGCCACAGCTCGGCTGGTCAGGAACCGACTTTAGGTGCTTGTCCAGTGCCAGCTTGAAGACTGCCAGGGGTCTGTTGGTAATCCCCCTTATGTATGCTGGGAGGCAGTTGAACAGTCTCGGGCCCCTGACACTTATTGTATGGTCTCTTAACGTGCTAGTGACACCCCTGCTTTTCATTGGGGGGATGTTGCATTGTCTGCCAAGTCTTTTGCTTTCGTAGTGAGTGATTTTCGTGTGCAAGTTCGGTACTAGTCCCTCTAGGATTTTCCAGGTGTATATAATCATGTATCTCTCCCGCCTGCGTTCCAGGGAATACAGTTTTAGGAACCTCAAGCGCTCCCAGTAATTGAGGTGTTTTATCTCCGTTATGCGCGCCGTGAAGGTTTTCTGTACATTTTCTAGGTCAGCAATTTCACCTGCCTTGAAAGGTGCTGTTAGTGTGCAGCAATATTCCAGCCTAGATAGAACAAGTGACCTGAAGAGTGTCATCATGGGCTTGGCCTCCCTAGTTTTGAGGGTTCTCATTATCCATCCTGTCATTTTTCTAGCAGATGCGATTGATACAATGTTATGGTCCTTGAAGGTGAGATCCTCCGACATGATCACTCCCAGGTCTTTGACGTTGGTGTTTCGCTCTATTTTGTGGCCAGAATTTGTTTTGTACTCTGATGAAGATTTAATTTCCTCGTGTTTACCATATCTGAGTAATTGAAATTTCTCATCGTTGAACTTCATATGTTTTTCTGCAGCCCACTGAAAGATTTGGTTGATGTCCGCCTGGAGCCTTGCAGTGTCTGCAATGGAAGACACTGTCATGCAGATTCGGGTGTCATCTGCAAAGGAAGACACGGTGCTGTGGCTGACATCCTTGTCTATGTCGGATATGAGGATGAGGAACAAGATGGGAGCGAGTACTGTGCCTTGTGGAACAGAGCTTTTCACCGTAGCTGCCTCGGACTTTACTCTGTTGACGACTACTCTCTGTGTTCTGTTAGTGAGGAAATTATAGATCCATCGACCGACTTTTCCTGTTATTCCTTTAGCACGCATTTTGTGCGCTATTACGCCATGGTCACACTTATCGAAGGCTTTTGCAAAGTCTGTATATATTACATCTGCATTCTTTTTGTCTTCTAGTGCATTTAGGACCTTATCGTAGTGATCCAATAGTTGAGACAGACAGGAGCGACCTGTTCTAAACCCATGTTGCCCTGGGTAGTGTAACTGATGGGTTTCTAGATGGGTGGTGATCTTGCTTCTTAGGACCCTTTCAAAGATTTTTATGATATGGGATGTTAGTGCTATCGGTCTGTAGTTCTTTGCTGTTGCTTTACTGCCCCCTTTGTGGAGTGGGGCTATGTCTGTTGTTTTTAGTAACTGTGGGACGACCCCCGTGTCCATGCTCCCTCTCCATAGGATGGAAAAGGCTCGTGATAGGGGCTTCTTGCAGTTCTTGATGAACACGGAGTTCCATGAGTCTGGCCCTGGGGCAGAGTGCATGGGCATGTCATTTATCGCCTGTTGGAAGTCATTTGGCGTCAGGATAACATTGGATAGGCTTGTGTTAACCAAATTTTGTGGCTCTCATAAAAAATTCATTTTGATCTTCGACTCTCAGTCTGGTTAGCGGCTTGCTAAAAACTGAGTCATATTGGGACTTGAGTAGCTCACTTATTTCCTTGCTGTCATCTGTGTAGGACCCATCTTGTTTAAGTAGGGGCCCAATACTGGACGTTGTTCTCGACTTTGATTTGGCATAGGAGAAGAAATACTTTATGTTTCTTTCGATTTCATTTATGGCTTTTAGTTCTTCCCGCGATTCCTGACTCCTATAAGATTCCTTTAGCTTAAGTTCGATGCTTGCTATTTCTCTGACCAGTGTCTCCCTACGCATTTGAGATATATTGACCTCTTTTAGCCGCTCTGTTATTCTTTTCCGTCGCCTGTAAAGGGAGCGCCTGTCTCTTTCTATTTTACATCTACTCCTCCTTTTTCTTAGAGGAATAAGCCTTGTGCATACATCGAGTGCCACCAAGTTAATCTGTTCTAGGCATAAGTTGGGGTCTGTGTTGCTTAGTATATCTTCCCAGCTTATATCGGTTAGGACTTGGTTTACTTGGTCCCACTTTATGGTTTTGTTATTGAAGTTGAATTTGGTGAATGCTCCCTCGTGACTAGTCTCATTATGTCAGTCTGGGGCTCCACGCATACATGTCTGAACCTCAATTATGTTGTGATCTGAGTATATTGTTTTTAATATGGTGACATAACTGTGCATATGTGAATTAGAAGAGCAATTCTTACTAAGAGAATTTCTGTTCTATATTTTGCAGTTTTCCATTTTGTCCGCACCCTTGATAATCAGTTGTTAAAAGTATTGTAGATACTTGTTAAAAAAATTATGTAGGTTTGTGGATGATGTTTACTTCACTAGGTAATCACATAGACTACTTAACCTATGGGGACATAGTAGCTACATTTGTTTGATGTCTTGGCTATTGTGGAAGTTTTATTCTGGAGTTGACCTCATGTAGAATCAACCTGAAATCAGATGCTTGCAGAAGCTTTACATTGACTTATATGTAATTGTTTGGTTAAACAGTATTGTTTATTAGTAAATATTCATAGTTCAGTGGTAGAGCATTCGCTTCACAACATAAAGGAAACTGTAAATGGGAAAAATCTTTATCATTAAAAATTTACATAGAGAACATTATAGAACATTCAGTAGAAAGTCACTAATTAATAAAACTTATAATGGGCTTGAATGCAGTGCAAAAGTGAGGCAAGTCATATGGGTAAGTCTCTTATACCTTCTGCCCCTTTTCATTTAGCACTAAATAAAATAGATAACTAGGACCTGTTGTGGGTAGCATTCTTGGGAAACGAAACTCAAATGTATTCATTGGAAATAAGCTATTATGCTCAGCTTTCTTGGGTTATCAACGCTTCAGGGGTAATATTATACTTCTTAATGGATACCATGAAGGTGAAGAAAATGTGGGTGGACCACCAGAGGGGTTCAGGTGTGTGTTTCTGAAGAAAAGAACAATCGGTGGAAGAAAACAAACAAAATACACACTGCTCTCCCTGTGGTAGTTTATTTCACGAGCAGAGACGACAGCCAGGGCTGCCATAAAAAGAAGAATGTTACACAGGTTGGCCATCACTAATCCAGCAATCAGTAATCCAGTTCCATTAGTAATCCGGCACTAATTACGGCTAGCATAATTTCAAATTTTCAAGGCTGCCACACCAACCTGCTGCTACTGTTTGGTGGTGCTACTTGCTGCATAAGTCATTCCAATTCTTTTTTCTCCATTTATTGTTATAACCTGCTCACTTTTAGCCCTAGTGATGGTTCCAATGAATAAAAGAAATGCTTCTCATTGTGTAAAGCACATATACCGTGCATTGTCCATAAAAGATAAAGTGGCTTTGAAGCCACTGTCAGTCACCATGAGCTCAGCTCACTCAGATAAGCTGTGACCAGTAAATTTTGGCCTACATATGAGAGAATAGGTCTATGTGGTAAGAGTGCACTATATATAAAAAATTCTGCAGCATGCAGTGCATAATGAGAAAAAACTGTGACTGTGTTTATGGTGTAAACCCGACTTTGCGGTGTATTTTCGTGTGGTTTATATGGTTGTATTCTTGTTTTCTTGGTCTCATTTAATAAAATGGAAGATGTATTACAGAAATAGATATAATTTTAATTGGTTTAATGCCAGAAAGTACCTTAAAATTGAGCTCAAAGTAGCAGAAATGTTCAATTTTTGCCGATGTTCAAGAGTAAACAAATGACGTCACCGTCCAACTGGCCAACATTATTTATACAATTATTACAATAATGCACTAGTCTGCATAACAGTGAATCTTCTACTTTGTGTAAATAAAAATTCAAAATGGAAAGCAAATATAATTTAAGAGGGGTTTGGAGACATGACTAATGAACAGAGAAAATGTTATTTTAGTACTAGGAATGTTTACATTGTTTATTCTGGACCATCTTTTGAAATTGGCAGCTTTTGAAATTTGTGTGAAATTGGCCAAATTACCGATTTCTGACCACTTTATTGGGTAATTGAAATAGGTGAATGGGCAGTTTCTTGTGCTCAGTCAACAGAATAGAAGGAATACTAGTGAAATAGCTATGAGTTTGGCAGACTGGAACAATGGAATGGGCCAAAAATAGGGCATAAAGTGGGTGAAATCACCAATGTGTAAATATCGCTGTTGGGTTAAGTGTATACTAACCTAACCACTCTGTAATCCAGCAAAATCACTAATCCAGCACCCTACAGGTCCCGATGATGCCAGATTAGTGATAGCCAACCTGTACTAGGAAAGGCTTCAAAAGAAAATAAGATAAAATGAATTGCTAAATGATTCACTGGGTTTAGGGCTTTTTTGTGAGTATACAGTGGAACCTCTATTTGCGAGCACATCCATGTGTGAGTTTTTCCAAATACGAGCAGTTGATGGGTCGATTTTTTGCTTCCATACTCAAGCAAAATTTCCATAAGCGAGCAGACCTCAAGGCAGGTTCCTTGATGCTGGTGAGAGACTCTTGCTCTTGATATAGGAAACTGTATCTTATTTGTTTGTTGGACTATGTTATTGAAACTTGGGCAACGTATGATGGAAAGATGTTTCTTAACTTACACCAAAAATGAAAGAAATCGGACCATAAATAATGGAGTTCACTTCTCAGCAATTAGCCACCCCTTAGTGGTATTTTTGTATGGTTTTTATGGTTGTATTCTCTTTTTTTGGTCTCATTTGATAGAATGGAAGATATATTTCAGAAATAGATATGATTTTGATTGCTTTCACGACGAAAAGTACCTTGAAATTGAGCTCAATGTAGAAG